CAGGAAAGCCACACACATTGTATTAACTTATGGCTCTCGTTAAATGATCTTTATGTCTTTGTGTTTTGTCCAAAACTATATTGAAAAATATATATTGTTTCATGCAAATGAAGGAATGCAATAAAGAGTACCTATACTCGAAAACATTCTGTAGACCATGTTTTGTACAAAACGACACGTAACTGATAGGAATGTGTGAAGCAGAGGGGGGCTCAGGAAAGCCCCTCCTTGTCTTAACGAGCCTAAGGAGATGGAGGATTTTTATTTTTATTTATTTATTTTTTTAAAGATTTTATTTATTTATTTGACACAGAGAGAGATCACAAGTAGGCAGAGAGGCAGACAGAGAGAGGGGGAAGCAGGCTCCCCGCTGAGCAGAGAGCCCGATGCGGGGCTCGATTCCAGGACCCTGAGATCATGACCTGAGCTGAAGGCAGAGGCTTAACCCACTGAGCCACCCAGGTGCCCCGAGGATTTTTATTTAAAAATCTCTGGGTTTCATTATTTAGGAAGCATACTCCATTGAAAAAAGAAATATATCAATAGCGTATTTTCAGGAGTTAATGCACAACAAGAACCTTCTTACTTATTTTGCTTATTTTCGCCTTATTAAAACACTGAAGCAGATCAAAGCCATAAATGGGTTAGTAATAATCCAGAAAGGAAAATTGTTTCTCAATTAGAGTTCCTCCTTTGAAATGTGCAAACCAAGGGATTCAAACACTCTCAGTGGGATTTCTTCACATGGTTCATTTTTGGAATCCTTTTTGCATTTTTCTGAGCTGTCGGATCTCAGCCCAAAAGCCCGATGCTTAGAGTTGGATGAGGTTAGGACGAAAGGCAGCTCAGAGAATCAGCAAGGCTCAGTGCAAAGAGGTCATCTCCCCAGGAGTTGTCCACAACTCCTAGGAGGACCCCGGGGCCACCCTGGGCCCTGCATAACCTTGGGAAGGTAGGGTCTTGAAGCTGTCCAGTGCACTTCAAAGCTGCCCTGGGCAGAGGGTGAGAGAGAGTACGACGTCACAGGCCTAGCGACAAAGCAAAGGAGACCAGCAGCTGCTGCTTTAGATTTCTTCCTATATGGATGCACTGTGAACAGGCTAGTTTTTGTCAGAAGATATAATTAAAACCTCAGAAAAGGAGGTTATCTCATCCTTTCCGTATTCGTACATCTTCACTGAAATACCTTCAAAACTATATATCCGAGCGGACCCTGGGTGGCTGTCGGTTGAGCGTCTGCCTTCAGCTCAGGTCATGATCTCAGGGTCCTGGGATGGAGTCCCATATCGGGCTCCCTGCTCGGCGGGGAGCCTGCTTCTCCCCCTCTCTGTTCCTCCCACTGCTTGTTCTCTCTCTCCCTCAAATAAATAAAATCTTTAAAAATAAATATATAACAGAAAAACTATAATGGTGGCTAAAATCTGAACGCGGTTTGCTTTAAAGCTGTCTTTTCATGTCCTAAAAATTACGGTGAACAGCCTCTGGTTTAAAAGTTTCAACAGCAAGTCACGGAGTAGATTTGAGTGTGTAATAATCAAATCCTGGTCAACAGACCTGTTGATGCACTGAGTCAGCAAAAAACAACCAAGCCAGGCCAAGCACAGAAGGCAGAAGCGAGACTTCCCATCCCTTGCCTGGCCACCTGATTCATAAACCTTTTCAAAGACGACACCGGGGAAGGTGTGGATAAAAGTTCAAAAAAGCATGTCCGTGTCAGAAGTTATTGCAAAATGATCTAGAGTTTCTCCTCCACTGGCAAGCAGTGCGAGGACCGGGCCGTGGAGCTGAGCCACAGAGGGCGTGTGCTGTGCGGACACCGGGGCAGGACAACGCTCCACGGGGTGCCTGTGATGGGCAGGAATCCCAAGCCGTGAATGCAGAATTTGCAAGGGGGACTCGTGTTTGAAATTTCCCCTCCATACGTACATGAGGGAGCACACAGTCTCTCCACACAACCAACTTTGTCACACTCTCTCGGGAGTATCAGATTAATGGTAAGGTCATTCTTTGCCTCCTCAAGAGTTCTCTGTCAAGCTAAGAGAAACGACAGCATAGCCACCATCATTTTGCTGCATTGACTTTCCTCATCTGTGTGTCGATCAGCCACAGCTTACATGTCCATCTATATACCCAGGGCTGGCATGGAGGTACCACTGGATCCATCTAGAATCACCTACCCATCATCCCTCCCCCTGCTTTTCTCTGCCTTTATTTGTACCCCATCCCCCGAGCCTTGAACTCACGAACGTTCTCCCCTGTTTTTTTCACATTCTTTCCAAGCTACCACTTGGAAAGAGATCTTCCCACGATATTGTTTCTTTCTTTTGGGTCTTTTTTTTTTTTTAAGCTTCCTCTTATTTTTAGATGTTTATTAGTATTCATACTTATGGAGAAATTGAATGTTCAAGCACTGTAATCAACTGTTTAATCATAGAATATGATTAATCATAGAAAGGATTGCAAATGGCCTTGGTAAGTATGAACAGGGACCATTTAAATGTTTGGCAATCTTATAGGTTAAAAAAAAAAGAAAGAAAAGAAAAGTACTCAGGATACTAGGAGAGATGAGTATTAGTTTTATGTTGGAGTGACGTACAAGGTGAGCCGGGCTGTGAGATACAGAGATTTCTGTCTACGCTCCTTGTCCAATAACTTATGCAGCCAGCACAACCATTTTTTGTGGTTTAACCTTTTCAGGGACTAAACAGAGACACATCAGGGGCACAATAAAGTTCATGAACTTCTAGTCGCCATTCCTAATTAAGGTTCGAGTTCTGAATGGAGCACAAGGCAGCCCAGCGCCAGCACCCAGGGCAGGCTGCTTTATTTTTGTTTTTGTCTCTGCAGTGAGATGAGTAAGATTTGCTCCTAATAAAGGTAAATCAGGAGAAAGAGAAAGAAAAGGAAAGCGTTTTAGCTGTGCCACATCAACCGAGGGTGACATTTTATGGGTCGGTGTGAAGACCAAAGGGCGGTCTATCGTCATAAAACCAAGTTATTGCCCCTCGTCATCGAGAGAGCATCACTTGCGAGCTTCAGGTGAGTCCTTTTGAAGCAGCAGTCCGAGGAGGGAACGCCCCTCCCACAGCGTGCCTACTGCTGGGTCCTTTCTGCCCAACCTCCATCAATAACACCTGTTCCAGGCCACCCGGAGGCCAGGGCAGACCATTTCTTCTTCCTGACTGACCTACCCTTTCTATAGCCGAGCTAGCAGGAGGGGAAGCCATTTCCCAGTCAGGTTTCATTTTCAATAGAGCAAATCCTATTTTCCCAATAAACGGAGTTGAAAACGTCGGTGAGGAAAGGATTAACCAACCCCGTGGGCTGCTGGCCTTGCGCCACATCTTTTGAGTGTCTGTGACATTCATTTGTGCAGTGGAAATGCTAGTCTATGAAAGGAATTACTGCCCAAACCGCTTACTTCCAAACCTAGGAATTACTTGTCAGATGTTGACTTAGAACAAGGTAAGCCTGTAAGAAAGTCCTACAGTAGATGAGACCCACTGTCCATGATGTCTGAGATGATCCTGCTTAGAGAACAGAGGAAATGGCTTTACTCTGGACCACGCACTTCAGGGTGCAAGTTGAGGCCACCACATCCAGAAATCGGATATTCGCAACCTCCTGAGCGTTAATCTGGAAACCCCACACATTGTACAATGTATCCATTTTAAGTTTACCTTCTCTTTAATGACTTAACAGAAAAAAACTGCATGATGAAATAGATTTTCTCCAAATATATATATATTTATATAATATATAATCTTAGTTAACTCAAAGGTATATACATTGTATAATAAATAATATTTATAAAAAGAGACTTTTTGAATATAAAATCAAAAAGATCAACAACTTCTACAACTTTTTACAAAACTTTGGATACAGCAGGTCGGTAGGAAATTTCGGTTGGATACTATTACCTGACTACGGCGAGAATAATTACAATGTGCTCAGTGTACTATTATTAAATAATTACTTGTCAGCTACTTGAATACGCCCCAGGAACATGACTTTATCACTTTTAATATAGAATACATAGATATGAAAAGACTGTTTTGAAAATTTGTATCCGTTCTGCTGAAATAATTCTCACATAAAGCAAGCATTATCCGGTTGACATGATTGAAAACTTTTCAGTCTAAGGTGAGATGGGGAGGGGCATTTCGGACTCTCCGGACAGGGGATGGGATGTGTATCTATAGCCGGGCTCGTTGCCCACAGATTCAAGAGTGCGGGCATGGCTTCTTGACGGTCTTGGCAGACCCGCCTGAGTAGAGCAGGAAGATCACTTGACCCAACAGCTGAGGTCAGTGTTAGACCAAAGAGAGAAGGGACTAAAGAAAGGAAGAAACAACTCTTTTCCCGTCTCTATCCCTGCCGCCTCTCTTCTTCCTGATTCTCCCTAAGACAGAGCTGTGGCCTGGGTTTGTGCTGTCTGATCCGCTGGCCTCCGTTCAGGACTCTTGAGAGGACCTGCGTGGAGCACGGGGAGCTCAGCGGAGAGAGGTTTTACCGGAGGGAGCAAATGACTGCTTGCCCGCCTTCGAACACCTCCTCCAGATCCTTGGGAACTGCGTACACTGGCGGGCTCTCTGCACACAGGTGAGGCCAGCAGGTGTGTGTTAAAGAACTCTGCGTTTCTCTTTTACCCGCACAGGCCAAAGGAGGGAAAGGAGGCCGGAAGACAGGTCTTTATCGGAGAGGGAACTAAGGAGCCGTGTTATCCTCCCTAGCTACAAGTCACCAAGTTGGAACATCAGGAATCGGCCGCTGCTCTGTCTCTGACCCTTTGTCTGATTTCTACCCAGGCGACCTAGACTCCCAGCTGCTCTCCCTGGAGTTGTTCGGGTGGGGAATCTGCCAGGGAGCAGGGCCGGGAGGGAGTGAATGGCCCCTTCTAAAGATACCGCTTCTTTCTTTAGGAAGCCCAATGGAGCTGCAGAAGGCTCACCACCCCCTAAACATAACCTATTTACATCGGTTCATCCTTTAAAAAAAAAAAAAAAAAAAAAGCCCCCAAGCCCTGCCCTGCATTCCTGGTAGACAGCGCGGAAGGGGAGCAGGAGACCAGGAGCTGGGACTGCGGTTCACAAGGGCCTCGAGTGCGGAACAGGGCTGCAGAGGAAGCGAGACTGAGAACAAGACCCAGCCGCTCTTCCAACAGCCTGCCAGGCCACCCAGAGCTCCTGGTTCTTCAGGACTCCCAAGCCCACCCCCACAATTGCTTTGGGCCTCCCTCCCACTGGATCCTAGCTAACCCTATGGCTTTCGTGAGAATGTGGAGGTCTATCAGATCTGAGCAGGAGGAGACAGAGAAAAGGAGACTGCTGGGCTCTGTCCTACTTCATAACGCCCACCGCACAGGCATCTTGCATGGCACCAGGAGACGCCTTCTGGAAAGAGAATCTTGCCCCAGCCGAGGTCTTCACCACCAGGCCGAGAGCTCACGGCAGCCCAGCCTGTTCTGTCGGAGTAGAATTTTTTTTTTTCCATTTTTATTTTCTTTAACATGTGCAAAGATAAGCCTGGGGTCTGTTCCTATCAGACCCTAGAGAACTAAAAAGAAAGCCCCTTCTTTAAAAACCACACACCATCCACAGTAGGGTGAGAAACTTAAGAGAGAGGGCGAGGGAGGCCTCCCCAGCAGCGGGCAGCTCGGGTCCAAGTCATTTACCGCACGGGCATCTGGCAACAGTCCGGGTTCCTGGCTGCCTGGTGCTGAGGGCTGAGCCCGGCTCCAGGTCCTGCTTTCCCACGGGACTTCGGTGAATCTGCCCAGCCACACACTTCACCCGTTCCCAGTGCCCTTTGGAAAACAAAGAGGGAGAATCAGACCCATAATCCCTTTCTCGGAGGAACCGCCCATTGGGATGCCGAGATTAGAGGCTGCGGATGGGAGAGCTCGTCGTTTCTCCTATACTCGGGCACAACGGGGAACTCGGGGCTTTCCTGCACCCCCTCCTCTGCTCTGGGGGTCTGCTGCTAAGGGAGAGTGCGGGATTTAAACAGGATCAGGAGGGCTTGGACCACCGCTGACTGGGACCCAAACCCTACCTGCTCCACCTTCTGGCCGGGAGCTTGGGCAGCGGCCCCCAGGCAGGAGTCCCCCTTGTAGAGAGACTGAAGGCCTCTCCGGTCCAGGGCCCATTCCCCACTAGAGTAGACGTGGGCACTGCGCTTTTCTGTCCCACCAATGGTTTGATAATGAGCCGTCTACACAGGAGCACGGCTATTTAATTAACTATGAATAATTCCTTCCTAGGGGAGCACCAATGTGTACCTCTTACTCATTTGTGTATTTACATCTCACCAAGGATTAGAGGCCCAAAGCACTTTCATGGGCATTCCCAACCAACCTTCCATTCCCGGGGGGTGGACAGGGCCAGTGGAAGACTATTACACTGGGGCAGAACCGGAGCCTCAGCAAGACTAAGCGGACACGTCCCAAGGTTTTGTGGCAAGTTAGTGACAGACCCAGCACTTGGGGCCAGCCAGACCCCCTGCCTCTTGTTCAGAGAGAGCCCTTTCCAGCTTACTGTGGCTCACAACATCTGAATAACAAGGAAAATGCCTGGTACTTGCAAGGTAGGCAATCGGCCGTTAGCACGAGACGCTGGACAGAAGCCACAGGCAATGGAAAAGATGTTTTCCCCACCAGGGAAGGACTGGGAATCTCCCCGTGGCATAAAGCCGTTTTGACTGGGGCTCCCCACCGAGTGTGTGGAAGGCATATGTCCCTGTCAGCCTGTCTCGAAGGTTCCCCTGTTGCCTGCAGTGTCTGTGTGGATGAAGGGAAAGGAGAGGTAACCAGGTCTCAGCCAATCTGGGGCCTGTGGTTCAAGACCAAGCACTGCGCCTGGAGAACGTCGTTCGCAGAGGTCAGCTCTGTCTGGTCCAGGGAATCTTTCTGCCTCCTTGGACCATGAACCAGGCCCAGCCCTGGGGTTATCCAGCCTCTAGTCCACACAGCCACCCCTCTGTTCTCAGATGAGGGAACCGGGGCGCAGAGAGGCTCCCCAGCCTGCCCCACATCACTCAACAAGTTGAAAATTTGTCCAAAGGGCACCACATGGGGAGAGTCCTCCACTTGTCCCAGAGCAAGGGCTCCAGAGTGCCCAGAGCAAAGGGGCTGGGGGCCCCGATCTGCTTAAATAAGGCATCTGAGACCATGTCTCTTAAGACTGGAGAAAACAGCATTGTCCTTCAGAAATGGGAGGAAAGAGAGCTGAGGATGCATTAATTCCTCCTAGGATCAGCACTAATTACACGGGTGGCAGGCAGGAGAGTTTTCTGGATACTGAGGGTCAAACCAGCACCTCCCTCCGCTGGTTGGCAGATGGCTTCTCTTGGAGGCCTCCCCCCACCCCGCCCTGGGAGGGGAGGCACCAGAACACCTACTGCTTCTACAGCCCCAGCCGGACCCACACGGGAAGTTCAAGGTCCCTGTCCTAGCAGTGGGTCCGCCATTAGGGCTCTGGCATCCTAATTCCCCCTCAGCTGCCCCTCAGTCCTGCTTGGGGACCCCACGCTGGCTCTGGCCACAGTGGCCACGCTACACTGAGCCCTTGAATGCGTTCATACTCGCGGATTTTTTTCTCTCACTGTGAGAAGCAGGACATGAAACTCGCCCAGGCGATGACACCGATTCACAGCGCAATGTCACCCTCACGTCACAGCTCTCTTGACGGCAGTTATCACTCCCGATTAGTATCAGATTCAGACAAGCATTCACTTCTGGTAGCTCCCTGGGGCCTCATGAAACTTCTGTTAGGCTCCCGACACCCCGGTACGGGTGAGGAAACTGGACTTCGGGCTTCCAGGGCCGGTACGTGGCAGAGCTGGGCCACCTGCGTCCCCTCTCCACCGGCCACACGGCGCCCACTTAGACACGAACAAAACCGTGCCTCCGGCTGCCTTTCTGAACCCTGTCCCTGCCAGGTCCTAACTCGAGCTCCACTGAGGGGCCTCCCAGAGGGACTCACCCAGAGCTGTCCCCAGGGTGTGGGGGCCTCCACACCACAGAGAGGCCCAGCCCTTCCCCCAGGCCCACACAGTGTGGACTGGAGCCACCAGCTCCCAGGTGCCCTCTGTGGAGCTGTGTGACCCGGTGGGGTGCTCGCCCCTGCCCTGTTCCAGGGGGATGACCCAGGCAGGTATGTTCTTCACAATGAACCAAGCACTGTCCCCACAGCTCCTCCGGGGAGGAAGATAGATAAGGAGGCAGATCTATAAAAACTCTTTTGTTGGGGTCCCCCAGCTGGCAGGTGGTGGCCGTTGGACCAGGGCTCACGCCTTTATACACTAGGCTCCTTCTCAGGTAGAGAAAAGGGAGAGAGGGCACAGTGGCCTCGGACCTTCTAGCTCCCAGACTCCAGGACCACCTTACATCAGTCCTGACCTATGCTGGGGACCGATGGCTCCAAGGGCCGGGCACCATGTCTCCCACGCAGGCCACCTCTGGGAAGCTTGGGAACATAACCCACTGGCCTTTGATCCCTTGATTACTCACCACCACCACTCTGAACTTGAATCCCTCCTCCTCCTCCCCATCCCCTTCCATAAACTCGGTGAGAGCGCCCCCGCTCCACCCAAGCTTCAGATCTGTCAGGATATGGGCTGATACACCGCTTCCCCCACCCACCTCCTCAAGGTCAGTAGGATTTATGCTTGTGCAAAAACTTGCCCTCAAAGTTCAGGGTGGATGCAAAATGACTCTGCCCCAGGGTGAAAGAGAGAGGATCTTTGGCCTATTATTTCAACTATTTTAGCCCCCTCGTTTTAGGGTAAGAAAACTGAGGCCCATGGAAATGAAATAACAGGAAATTAGGGACTTCCTGGAATAGGGCAGAGTTGAGACCAGAAGTCAGGTGTCCTGGCTTCCATCCCCACAACGTCCCTCCTCTGGCTCAGAGCCTCCAGATGCTCAGTAATGATGGCCAGTGGCCATGCAAACATCTGACCTGGCTCATAATTTACTAACTTGTATACAAACATTAGTCAATTTCGTGCAGTCTCGCGTGCACATGCTCAGCTGGTATCCGTACTTTGCGTAATCCGCCCAAAGCTGCCCAGGGATCATCCCCACAGATGCTCGGGGAAATCCTGGTTTACTGCTTTGGCCGTGGAAACTTGGGAGTCTTGGACAGCTCAGAAAGAGAAGTGGATTAGTCAGGAAGAGGAGCTGGGAGAAAAGGGTCCCTGTCCCAAGGCCCCGCAGCCGCCCCACCCTCGGCCCTACCTGACTCCCTACTTGCAGGTGTGCACATCGTAGATGCGGACGCACTCCTGGCAGCTCACGTAGCAGCACCAGTGGAAGATGCAGTGGCATTTCTCCTTCCGCTTCTCCGTCCTCGTGTTGTGGCCGCGGCCACAGCACAGCAGGTCGCAGCCATCGATGCCGTGGGAGGTGACATTGCAAGTCCGGTCCCTGGTGCCAAAGGAGCCCGTCTCGGGGTTGGGCTCACAGAAGTTGGGGGAGTTCTCGTAGTAGACCAGGTCCCTCTCGGTGGGCGGCTTGAACAGCGCGTACTTGGCACGGAGGGTCTCCACCCAGCCGCGGGATTCACGGTGCTTCTCCACCACCATCTCCGAGGCACTGTCGTACTTGTCCTTGAGGAAGTCGCCGATAGCGCGGAAGTCGGGTTGGGCCCACCAGCAGGTCTTGACCTCGCAGCTCCCAGACAGCCCGTGGCACTTGCACTTGAGGTGCATGTGGTCCAGGATGGTCTGGAGAAGAGGAGTAGCTGCTGGCCCAGAGCACAACCTCACTCGGGAGCGCACCTAGGCCCTCCCGCTCTGCCCCCGCCCACCCCATCCCTGGAACCTTCTCTATTTCTACTGGGGGTCAGGAAGAAAACAGATTGGGGCTGAGGTACGGACCTAAAGAATGATGACCATTGTTTCCCTCCCCTTCACAGCCCAAGCATTGGCAGAAATCGCAGCCATTTCTCAAAGCTATAGGAGATGGGGGTTGTGAACCCCATTTAACAGATGGGGAAACTGAGACCGGGAGCGTAAGTGACTTGCCCTAGGTCAGACAACCAGAGGAAGCCGTGGAGGTTGAATTCAAAGTCAGGCCCTCCCGTCTTCATGGCCCTGCCTAGGCAGCCCAAGTGCACCAGATGGGCTGGTGGGGACCTGCTCCATGGGGTCTGCCTCACTACTGAGCTGACACATCCCCGGGCAGGGGCAGATGGGGAACAGCCCAGGGAGAAAGGGTGAACAGGATGGCTGATTGTGGGGGTGTGAGTGGGGGCCAAGTTCTGCCAAGGGGAAAGAGGAGAGTAGGGAGCCTGGGATGCACAAGGGCCACTGGAAGGACAGGGTGGGGCGGGGGCGAGGCCAGGCGGGAAAGGCAGGGACAGGGTCCGCAAAGGGGTACCGGGCAGGGTCGGGCGAGGGCGGCCGCAGCTCACCGTGCGGCCCGCCTCGTTGTTGTGCTTGTTCATGGCGGAGCGCGCGTCTGGCCTGTTCTCGCGTGCGTCTGCGAACTCCCGGGACACGAGCACCCCGAAGTCGGCGTCCTCGCTGCAGCCGCCCCACTTCCAGCCCTCGCCAGGCGGTCCCTTGTGGTGCGAGTCACAGCCGCAGATGGTGGAGGTGCCCTCAGCACAGGAGCGTGTGACGGCGAAGGCCACACCGGCAGAGGCGATGGCGTGCACGAAGGCCGACTCGCGGGTGGCTGCGGGGAGGCCAAGGCTCAGGCGGGGTCCTGCCTCGACCTCCCCAGCCGGGAAGAAGGGCTCCCCAGCCCCGAGGAAAGAGGGAGGAGTCGAGGTACTCTTCCCACCCCTTTGGGCTGGCCCAGCCTCTGAGGTATCTGCACTTTACAGATGAGCAAACTGAGGCAGGGGGCAGATAACTGATTAACCCAGGGCCCCAATACCTGGTACTGGTCAGAGCCAAGCCTGTCAGAAGCAGGGGCAGAAACTATAGCTCTGGCCGGTTGCTTTAGAGGTGAGGTGGTCCTGCTCCATCCTGGCCCTGGGCCCCCTACCCTCTACCTGCCCCAACTCCAGAGACTGCAGCACGGGCCTGAGCCCTCCCCATCCTGAGAGAGCCTGGGAACCTACTGCCTAAACTACCCAAGTCCACCCCATCCCCCACCTAGATGCACTTGGGCAGACCCCTTCCTTTTCTGAGCCTCAGTTACCCTCTTTGTAAAACGGGTATAACTTCCCTTTGTCACCAGAGTTCCTGACCAGGAGGAGAGTGGCCCCAGTCCCATGCCCACTCCCTGCCATCAGGGGAGAATCCCTTGAAGGAAAAGGAGAACTTCTCAGGGGTGTCCCCCAGCTTCAGGATCCTGATCACCACCTTTGGGCGCTCAGTATGCACCAGATTCTGCCCTTCAGGTTCTTGATCTTATTTAATCCTCAACTAAGAGCAGGAAGGCTTAACACAGCCCCATTTTACAGATGCAAACACTGAGGATTAGAGGGCCAAGGCCTGGGAGACCTGCAGTCCAACCATCTCTCTCCGGACAGGCGAGGAGCCCAGATTGGGCGGTGACACGCCCGAGGCCACGCAGGCCGGCCTGGAAGCCAGAGCTCCCTTGCCGGGTGCTGAGGGGGATCGCGGCTCCGCACACAGGCGGAAGCCCGGTAGCCTCGCGGGAGGCGGAGGAGCCGTCCGACCCGCTTCCACGGACGCCCCGCCGCCGCACCGAGCCCTTGCCGCCCAGGCGGACTGAGGCCGGGGGTGGCCGAAGCCCAAGGCTCCGGTCCCTCCCCTCACCCCAATACTGCCCCAACGCCGCTCCGCTCTCCTCGCCCCCGTTCCTGCTCCCGCCCTCCCCGAGGCGCCCGGGGGTGGCGGCGGCGCCGAGGGCCAGCGCCTCGCTTCCGGCCCGGCGCGCGGCCTCTCGGGGCGGCGGCGGCGCCCGGACCCCGGGCCGCGCTCGGTTCCCAGCCCCGGGGACGCGGGGGCGGCGGGGGCGGGGCGGGGATTAGCCTGGGAGCGGCGCTGACAGCCCCGCTGTGCCGGTCCCCGTCCGGCGGGGCCCGCTGGGCCGCTCAATCCGCCTTTGTTCGCGCGGTGTCACACCGCATTACCCGCATAATGCGGCCGCCGGGCCCGGGCCGCCGGGCCGGCCGCCACCGCGTAGCAACGGGCGGCTCCCGCGGCCGGGCCGCGCCCCCGGCCCCGGCGCCGGCCTGCGAAATCCTCATTGAAGCGGCGCCCCCCGCCCCCGCGCCGCGCCGAATGGCCAGAGGGCGTGTGAATGGCGCGGCGGCCGCAGCGGGCGCGGGGCCGGGCCGCGCGGTGGGGGGCGGCGCTCGGGCCCCTTTCAAGCCGCCTAAGCCCCTCCGGGCCGCCCGCGCCGCCCCGCCCGCGGAACGCGATCCCGGGCTCGCCTGCGCCCCGCCGTCGCGGCCCGTCGCCTTCCGGCCGCCGACCCCCGCGGCCTCCGCCCCACGGGTGCCGCGCGAGTCCCCGGCCGGCCGCGGCCCCGCCTCCGGGCCGGCCAGACCGTGGGGAGCCGGTTCCGGGCTCGGCCAGTGGTGCGCGCCCCGGGCAGGGCGCACCCCCACCCCGCGCCCTCGCGCCCCCTGGCTCTCAAAGCGTGTGTGGGGGTTGGGGTGGAGTGGGGTGGAGTGGGGTCGGGGGGTGCAGAGATGAACGCACGGCGGCCCGCGCGGCGCGGGTGAGGGACTCCCAGACCTTCCCGGACCTTCCTCGGCTTCATCAAATTCCTCGAGTTTCTGACTTATTACCCAGCTCCCAACCCCCGCCCAACACAGAACTGCCCTCTTGCAATTCAGAGATGAAGGCAGGTACCAGAACCTACAACATGATGGAAAACGTTTAACACAGGCGTGGATGGGTAATAAGCTCAAAGGCCCGATTTTCATTGCCAAATGTCCCAAGAGGGTAAGAGCGATCAGAAGGCGAGTCTTGCTTTTGGGGAGCGCGTCTAGACGCCAGGCTGTTTGATTAAGCGCTACCTGGCCCGAGGTGGGGCACCGGAAGGCGGTGAGACTGACACACCGGGCAAGATCAGGTTTGAAATGCAAACCGCCGCCACTTGGCCCCAATTAGAGGCCAAACCTTTTATGTAAACAAGGAATAATTAGCTTTGGTAATAGAAGCGTAAACAGAATCATCATCCATTGATTCGCTAATTGGTCTTCTGTCCCTTGACAATGGCCTGTAGGTCAGACAGACCCAGCATACCTGAGGCCCAGGTAAAGGGGAACTGCCTACTAAAAGGTAGGGGGTCAGTGCCCCATCCCCCACTCTCCCCATCAGATCCACCTGGCTCTCAGATCCCTTTTCCTTCCGGCTATACAGTTCTTGTAAGAGAAGGGAGGGCCAGGCTCACCACTTTGGGTGGCAAAGCCCCTGGGGCGGGAGGGTTCAAGTTTCTGCTGAAAGGGAGCAGTGGTCCCAGGAGGCCTGCTGGGGTCATCAAATTCCGGGTTTCGGCCATTCCTTAGAGTTGCCCATCTTCAGCCCAAAACTCTCCAGCCCCAAAGTCCCCTTCTCGGGAGCAGTCGCCCCCCTCAACCATCTCCCCCGGTCATGCTTGAGATCAAGTTGTGTGAATGCCATTCATTTCAGGCACCAGCCGGTTAGACTCCTGGTTTGCAGGAGGGCAAGAAAGATTCCCAGGGGCCAGCCGGCCCTCTAGCCACTCCAGAGTCGGTGGGCAAATCCCCTGTGCAGGGGCCTGGGGGCCGGCAGAATCTTTGCACTGAAACGCTTGGGGGCAATGCAATGCCACCAACACGTTTCCTCAGCTCCAGAATTTTCTATATGGGTGGGACCTAGAGGTGGTGATCACCCAAAAGCTAGATTTAAATAGCACTTAACACAGTGTTGGGAAAATGTCACAAATGACCACAACAAAGCCTGCCCCACTCCACTGTGCCAGCCAGGTGTGGGGTGGGGAGGAAGGCCATGGCCTCCTGTGCCGCGCTAGGATCTCAGGATATGGAGCACCTCAAAGCTGCTCAGCCCCCAGCAGCACCCGGGAAGGTGTAGCAGGCAGGGTGACAGTCTGGGTCAGTCCAGAGAGGGAGTTGACATGCTTTTGTGGAGGCTGTGGGTCCTGATCAGCTTTGTGGCCCTCCCCTGGGGACCCTGGGCTGGGAGCTGAGGCATCCTAAGGGGGAAGGGTCACCGGGTCCTCCTCCCCCACCTCCCACAGCCCCGCCCCCACCTGCTAGCCAGCCCAGAGACAGTACCTTTGTCCAGGACGGGCCCAAAGATGGCCAGGCTGTCGTCTATGGTGGTGCAGTTCCAGCGGCGGCCCCGGAACTGGTGCTGGCACTCCTGGATGCCCAGTTTCACGCCCTCGGCCACGCTGGGCATGATCTCGATGTAATTCCGGCAGAAGCGCAGCTGCTTGGGGACCAGGCCCGGGATGGAGCCGCAGAGCAGGGGCTGCGAGCCCAGGGATGTGTATTGCTGGCCCAGGGCCAGGGACCTGCGGGCAGACACAGGGTGGTGGCACATGGCCCATCAGGGGCCTTTTTTCTTCCTTGTGAGCCCTCTGGGGTGGGTGGAGACACGGAGGGCCCCTGGGTCAGCCCGAACCCAGACCCTCCAGCAAGCCCACGCCTCAGCGTGCTCCCTGCCCCTGTGGGGCAGATCTCCGCCCCAGCCAGCAGCCCTCTGATGGGGGCATATCTGATGTGAGCGGGGGACTCGCAGGGGCACATCGTGAAAAGAACCCTGGACTGGAAAGATGGATTTGGGGCTCCAGGTTAAATCCCTCCGAGGCTGTGGGCCAGTTGCCCTGATGGGCCTTGAAGCAGTTGGCCTGGACAATCTTCCACAGAGTCTGAGTTTCTGGGGTCACACAGACTCCAGTGACCCATGGGAAGTAACCCAAACCTAAAGCGAGGGAGGTGGCAGTCTTGACCCCAGTCCCATCTCAGCTGAAGCAGAGAAACAGAGAAGCTCCAGTCCCAGCAGGGAATTCATTACGTACATGTGTGCCTGAGGTTTGCACATGCGCGCGCGCGCACACACACACACACACACACACACACACACACACACAGAGCCCATGGCAGTGTCTCTTAGCCGCCTCCTCCGGACGCTGCCTGCCCAGCCAAAAGCCCCCAGTGCCTCCCTAGGGAATCAGTAGCCTCTACTAAGTATCTGTCCTTTGTCCCCCGGGGCCTCCGTGACCATCTTAGCAGCTTCCTAGAAGTTTCTGGAGTACCATCATCCCTCTTACCAGAGACTGGAGCTTGGCTTTGTTTCCAGTCAAGTGGAGCTCAGCGTCAGGAGGGAGAAGATCCCAGATTACACTCTGCCGGCCAAGTCACCTTACTCTCCTAACCCTCATTTCTCAATCAATATCCTGTAAACCTCTCAGCATTTTTTTCTTTTAGCAGACTGCTTGGACATCAGGACTTTAATTTTTTTAAAGGTTTTATTTTTACTTATTTATTTGTCAAAGAGAGAGAGCAAGCACAGGTTGGGGGGGGCACGGCAGGCAGAGGAAGAAGCAGGCTCCCCGCTGAGCAGGGAGCCTGACATGGGACTTGATCCCAGGACCCTGGGATCATGACCTGAGCCAAAGGCAGAGGAGCCACCTCTCAGCTTTTTTATAGAGTCAGCAGAAGGGAAGGTCTTGTGGGGAGCCAGAATAAGAGTTTAAAATACTAGAAAACCAAGATGCTGCTCTTCCCACTCTCTCCCTCAGCCCTGGAACAGCAGGAATGACATTTTGCAGGAGAAACTGAGAAAATGATCCGTGGGTCTCAGTGGACTTGAAGGTCAGTTGCCATCAGCCCTGTGATCAGGGACAGTGCGAGCTGGAAGAAGGGTTGCATGAGGCCCACGTCCTCCCCCTTCACACCCATAACCAAGGCTCCAGTCCGGCAGTGACCTCAGTCAAGTCCCTCACACAAAGAGATGACAGAAGCCTTGGGAAGAGGGATCAGAAGACCCCCAATGCAGATCAGGAAAACACAGACACATACACACCAGCTTCCTGGTCTAGACACAGGGCTGAACTCAACGCCTGCCGTTTATCAGCTCTTACGCGGCTTTGCCTGTAGATTCCTGATCACTTCTCCAAGGCGGAGAACATCACTACCCCCAACCCCAGACCAGGAAGCTGGGGTTTAGGGAGGAAGTTAGTTGCTCAAGCTTTCCAATGCCCGGCCTGTGGCCGAACACAGCAAGCTCGCTGGGCTGAGCCTTTTCCTTGGGTTTGCTTCCCTCAATCCTTAGAACAACTGTAGGATGTGGAAGGGGGCGTTACGGCAGCCCTGTTTTTGGGCGGCGTGGCCTCACGTTCTGAGGAACCAGCCCAGACCACAGAGGGGCTAAGAAGTGGCTCATGGGACCCCATTCCCTCTGACTCCAGAACCACTGTGCCGCCTGCCTTCTGGGCAAGGCCTGCTTGGGGCTGGAGGCAGGGAGGTGGAGGGAGGGGCTGGCTGTAGGCCAGGCCCTTCTGCGCCCTGAGTCTCACCCACGATCTCCTGCCTCACTGAGCATGAGCGGGTCAGCCCAGAGCCCCCGATGAGTACACGGCACACAGCCCCCAAGGGGGCCCGGGGACCGTTCTCTCCTGTCCCAACCCTGTTTACGCTCATAAACAGCTTATCACAAGAATGGTGAGGTTCGGATAGCCATCACTGATTACACGATGGGCCTGTTCTAAGCACTCATGTCTCTTGCCTTAGGTAATCCTCCCCGAACCTCATTATCATCATTATTATCCCATTTCCTAGACGAGGAGACTGAGGCCAGGAAGCTAAGTACCCTGCCCCAGTCTGCAGGACTGCACAGACTGCACAGAATTGAGCCTCCCTCCCCATTCAGGCTGTCTCCCCATGTGCTCTTTTTTATTTTCTTTTTCTTTTTTAAAAGACTTTAATTATTTATTTGAGAGAGAGGGACAGAGAGCACAAGTGGGGAGGAGAGAAAGAAGCAGACTCCCCACTGAGCAGGGAGCCTGATGTGGGGCTCGATCCCAAGACCCTGAGATCATGACCTGAGCTGAAGGCAGACGCTCAGCCGGCTGAGCCACCTGGGTGCCCCCTCCCCTCGAGCTCTTAACACGGGCATCGAGCCCCACCCGCCAGCTGTCCCAGCAGCTCTGCGGTCACCCCCGCAGGAACCGGCCCAGGGTTCAGGGTGGAGAGTCAACACAGTGCAGAGCGGGCGGCTTGGGGGCAAGGCTCCCATGGGAAGAAGCCCAGGCCGTCCCCACTCCCTCCTCTGACATTTAGGACCTGATGCCCCAGAGGAGGAGGACAGTTAGAGAGGGGAGCTGAGACCTGATAAGGGACTCTGCCACCCCTGTCACCGCACCTGGGTTTGGTCCTAAATGGGGTGGTGATTCTCGGCCCCCTCCCTGTCTCCTGGTCTGGCCCCTCCCTGTCCCAGAGCAGCATGGGAAGACCTGGCACCCACTTCCCAGCCTCAGTGTCCATCCCTTTGGCCAGAGCCAGTTTCCCCAGTGTCTCCACCACAGCTAACTCGGTCCATGTCCGGGTCTGGAGGTGTGGACCGTCCCTATGGTGGCCACGCTTGCCATCAGCTTGGCCTCCGGCCCCCACAACACACTCTGATCTGGGCCGGTCTGTCCCACAGTCACTTCTGGCACCAGGGGCCCTGTCCCATGTCACCCCCCATTATTGGTCTGCTCACCAGCCAAGGCTCCGAGTGCCCCGAGGCTCCAGCCTCCTTTTGCCCAGAGATGCGCATCCTCCAAGACTCTCCTCCTTCCTAGCTCTGTCCTAACCCCTTGGCAGGCCTGGCCCCCTCAAGCTAAGCGGAGTCCCGGACTAGAATGAGAACCTACAACAGGAGCCCTGTGACAGCACGAAGCCCATTTATACAGGTGAAAAAGCGAGAGGCCCACAGAGAGAGGTGGCTTGCCTACGGCTGGCCACTACAGAGAAGGGAGACTGAGGAGTGGGGACGCCCCTGCTGGCTCTTCATTTCCACCTGGTGGGGCCACTCCTCATCCCAGCCCTCCAAGGGGCTCTGGCTCCTGGATTCACCAGCCCCTCCCGCAGGGTCCAAGGTGGGCCTCCCCGGCCCAGCAGAAGCCCCGAGCTCTGGGCACTGGCTGGCCACAAAGGCCGCAGTTGCTCCCCAAACTTCTCCCAACAGGGAGATACCTCATTCCCTGCCCCTCCTCTGAAGGACACCAAGTCCTTCCTACTGGTCCTACTGGATGACTGTGGTCTCTCCTCCAACACAGGCAGATTCCCTCTTGCCCTCCAAGGTCACGTGCAATGCCAGCAAGCATAACAGCAACCGTTTCCTTCACATGTCGCATCTACTATCTCAACAGATTTTCACAACAGCTCCCACTGGAGGCGTTGCTGCCCCCATTTCAGAGGGGGAAACCAAGGCGCAGAGAAGCCAGACACCTTACACAGGGCAATGACTGAGCCAAGATTTAACCCTGAGTTTGTCGGACTCCGAGTATGAGACCCTCTGAAAACAACTCTGGGCATGAGAAATGATTTCTTGTGTTTTTGTTTGTTTGTTTGTTTGTTTTGCTTTTAAACATTTATTTATTTATTTATTTATTTATTTATTTGAGAGAGAGAGAGCAGGAATGGGAGCAGAGGGAGAAGCAGACTCCCCGCTGAGCAGGGAGTACAACACGGGGCTCCATCCCAGGACCCTGAGATCATGGCCTGAGCCGAAGGCAGATGCTTCACCAACTGAGCCACCCAGGCTCCCCAGAGATGATGAGTTCTTTCCCCTCCCACCAAACCCGGGCTCTACCCTGCTGCCCAGGGGCCAGTCCAGTGCACAGCCTGGAGGCAGGCTGCCCGGCACAGACCCGGCTCTGCTGTTCCCTAACTACTGATCTCAAACAATTCACTCAACCTTTCCCTGCCTCAGTTTCCTCACCTATAAAAGAGACATAATAAGAGGAAAGAATGAGAAAAAGCGTCGAGCACAGAGAAAGCCCTGTGTTTAGAGGCTGTCCCCAGCACTTTGTCCCCTTGTCCTGTCAGTAACCTCCTGCTTCCTGTCCTCCCATTCCTGACTTGACAGAACACACCAGAGTTTCCAGAGCCCCTTCCCATCTGTTACTGGGAAGATACCAAGCTGGCCCTTTCCCTGGCAGCTCAGTCCTAACTGGGGTGGCTGGGCACGGATATTTGTGACCTGGCTCAGTGTTAGAGGTAATCCAAAGGACCAGGCAGGGGGACATTCCCAGAATGCTCCATTCGAGGGTTTCAGCTCGGCTCTGAACATCCTGCTGGTCAGGAGCAAGGCCCCCTGGGGAAGGGACTGAGGAGGCCTCGGCTGTGGGACTGATTTCTGCAGGATAGCTGCCCTCCCCCACACATGGCCTGGCACCCCTTACCCTGAGCCTGCTCCCCGCACGGTGCTCAGGTCTGAAACTCCACCGCCACGGATGCATTAACGTCACCCACAGCACCTTGTCCCCATTATGCGTGCTCCCCTGGGGGAAGTCACACAGTGGGC